ATCATCATCATCATCATCATCATCATCATCATCATCATCATCATCATCGTCATCATCAGGGTCCGTGATGTAACGGAATCCTGGGTAGGATCTGTCATGGCTTCTAATAAGGTGTGAGAAATAGATGTCTGTGTTCTTTAAGTCATCACCAGGATGGGATTTTTGTTACTGGAAACAGAAACCATTACAAGCAAGTGCTAGAGAGAACAGGTGGACCACTCTGTCTCAGGGACACTTTCTTTTAGGAGGCATGAAGACCAGGCCCAGGCTCAGAGGGCTTATGAGTGGGAAACAGAAACATGTCACTTCCTTTCTCTCTTTTGTCCAAGTAGCTACCCTCCATGTTATCTATCTTACAAAACCCAGCTGAGGCCTCCCTCCTGCCACTGCAGACCAATCCTTGATGCCATCACCACTGTGCCTGCTCTCACCTACAACTTAGGCCCTGAAAGTAGTACCAGTTGTGATGCAGGGGCCAGTCCCCAGCACAGCAGGGTGACACACCTCCTATGAGACTCTGTGGTGGGAACCTGGCAGTCCTGGGACATCACAGCTTACCTAGGCCTTCAGCTGGCGTTGCTGGAGTGTCGATGATGTCTCTCAGAGGCTGGGCTACAGCCCAGTGGTCCACAAACATAGTCACTCACCTCCTCTGCTGTGCTGCTTTCTAAGGTCACATTCTATAAAAACTCCTCGAGTACCCTCAGTGCAGAGTGCCTGCTTGTTGCTGGCATCCTTCTGGCTCACAACTTCAACAGGAAACTCCTACCTCCCATATAAACTGAAAGCAACTTCTGCATTGACACAAATCATCTGCTCTTTGAGAAGCATGTCATGAGGGCTTGTCTAAGATGAGAGCAAACACACAAGGAGTACTGTCTGCAGTACACGCTCGCCTCCCTTCCAATCCATTTTGTTCCTGAGAACTACAGGAGAACCCTAGGCTTCAGCTCCATTCTCTCCCTCCCACAGGCTGCAGCAATTACATCACACTTCAGAAATAAAGTGAACTCAGTTGAGCAAGTCTGGAACCTGGCAACCTCATGGGGAAAAAAAAAATCCTTTCTTTACACAGCTCCTCACAGCCACTTAAGGAAATAGACCTGTCACTGTGGTGCATTAATATTCCACAGTGAATATTCCACACGTTGACAAGGTGCCAAGTGTCCCTTTCCATTCTTATCAGAATGGCTGACATTATCAGGAAACCTAATCTAAACAGCCACCAGGTCGGCCTGCAGAATCGGCTGCATTTGGCATTAAATTCAGAGTTCTGATAATTCTAACATTATTTTATTCTATCTGACAATGCAGATAAGTGCTGACATGTGCCTGTGTGTTACAGACTGTGGGAAATCTAAAGGGTTTAGGGGGTCAGCCAATTCAATCATTCATCATTTCTAGGTGAAGTGGATCCAACTGAATGTAATAAAATTACAAGTCAGAAACAAAAATCTGATGTTAAAAGCACCCAGGAACTGAAGTCTCCTACGTTCTAAAACAAACAAACAAAAAAAATTGGAATGAGATGCAAACCATTACTATGTAGTAGTGCATGTGCCTTTTGCTTTTTTAATAATCCTCTGATGACCATTTTGTGGTCTGCTGTTGAATCACTGTCCTCCGCCATACATGCATACACTCTATGCTGAGGGGCCAATTTAAAGAAAAACACAGGCAGCTTGTACCTATGAGTACCTCCACTTTCCTAACACTGCTGTATTTAATGAAAATAAGGATCAAATTATGAGGTGAACCTTTAAAATGTCTCAACAGGCATCCTCGCTGCTGTCTAACAAATCAGGGGAGGCCATTCAGTCACACACTGGTTTCTTTTAAAATACACACATGTACTCTAAAAGGAAAATGAAGCTCAGTTTCTGGAGAAGACTTGTAAGCTAATAAGAAAGGATATTCTAGAGGTTAAGCGCTCCACCCAACGCCTTGATGTGGCGCTGCCCAGCCTCTGGAACAGAGAACAGCACACAGATAGTGTTAATAGGCACCGCTTCTCAGGTTCGGGTACACCCAGTGCCAAGAACAAAGATAATTTAAAACAACCACGTGAAGAAACAGCAACACCCCCGAGGTGTTAGGTTAACTCTGAACCCACTATATTGGGCACTTTACATTTGTTTTCTCAATTAATTCTTGAAGAAACTGCTTAGGATACCCGGGTGCCGATCATTACAGTGTCAAGACAGAAAAGGAACTAAGTTCAGTCACAAGGACTTTCACATGGAAGCGTCATCAAACATCTCCACAGGTATCATATTCATCCTCAGGGAGGAGGCAGAGAAGGATGAGAACAGGGAAGCATTTCTACAGGTGGAGGACATACAGAGCAAGTGCATGTCCATTGATCCAGCCTCGGCCTAAGGCTATCCCCAGAGAGACCCTACCAGGAGCAGCCCAGCCCAGTCCCTGACCCCATCACCTGGGTCACCTTCAACACTTCAGTCCTTAGGACACAGACAAGGCCAGAATAGACAATGCATATTTTTGTACACGTGTGCTCAGGTATATATGCACATAAGCAGCCCAGAGCTGCTGTCTGCAATCGTCCTTGAGCCTCATACTTCATTCAGCCAGCCTACTCGGCCAGCTTGTTTCTGAGACCCTTACTGTCCTCGTGCTCCACGTGCGGAGTTACAGATGGGCTGCCATGCACACTGAGCACTTACGTGGGCCCTAGAGTCCCAATTCTAGGCCTCAGGCATGTGGGACAACACTCTATCCACTGAAGTAGCCGCCAGCCCCCAGAATACACACTCTTAAAAGACAAACCTGAGCACAGCAAGAGAGCTGACGGTAAGACAGACAGGGGTGAGGGAACATGCCATCAGGTAGAAACGGGGGTTTCAGGGGATGTCCAGTGCTGTGCCAGGCTAGCCCTGAAAGTCACTTACTTTGAGTTCCCCCCCCCCCACACACACACACACCTTGAACGTACACAGATCTCATGGATTCCAGGCAGGCCTTAATCTTGCTATGCAGCTGAGGATGGCTTTGACCACCTTACCCTACGGCCTCTGCATCTTGAGTGCTTGGATTATGGGCATGCATCACCATGCCCAGTTTTGTGTTGTGTTAGAATTGAGTCCCAGGGCTCTGTGTATGCTAGAAGAGCATTCTATAGACTGAGCTATACACGCCAGCTTGTTTGGGGCTTGTAAAAAAAAAACTATTTTAATCTATTATTTACTGCCACTGTTTCTGTGAGAGGCATGGGTCTGTTTAAGATCCATCCTTTAAAAGAGCCCCCTTGGCATATCTAGGGCCTAGAGACCGCACAGGACAGGTGGACTTACCTGCCATCATCAGGGCTCGCACACATTCCGTTCTGCCCTGCATGGCTGCTTTCATCAGGGCAGTGAAGCCAAATATATTCCTCTTTTCTAGGTCCAGACCAGGAAAATAATTCAGCAAGTAGTTGGTGATGGTGGCATGCCCTGAAAGAGAATGATACATCGATGTAGGTTCACATAGCCACAAAGGTGATCACTCACATGCAGCAGAGAAAGCCAAGACCCTGCTCAGCATCAACCTGTGCTGGCTGTCCCCTGTGTGTGTACTCTTCAAATTCCAACACAGTTCTCCTGGACGTGGGGAGCAGAGGAATGCTGTAGACACTGCCCCAACCACACAGGGTAGCTCGCCGCCGTGGCCTTCCGTCTCCCGCCTGGGAGGCAGGGCCAGAGTCATGCTGCACTGCCACTTGGGGAGAGTGACTTCACTTCCCCACAGGCAGGATGTAGTCAACTCCCAGCAGGAGTCACCAGGGCAAACAGATGCCAGGCTGCAAAGGAGCCTGGGAAACCTTTACAAGAATGGAGTTTCAGTGGGAAAACCCGTCATCTTAATTCATGTTGGGCACCTCTGGTTACCATTCAAAATATGTTGTATTTCTCCCTGATTTCTTTTCTTCCCACTCCCACTCAACCTCACACACACAGACACACACAGCCGTAAAACCTAAGCAGGTGAAAACACACATTTGAGATCACGGGTCTTGGGCTGGAGAGATGGCTCAGCTAACAACCATAAACACTTTCTCACCTTGTCCCTCCCAAACAGAATCTTGTTTCTGCTCATTTCCAGGGCTTTTAAACCCCAGGTACTCATATTAGGGATCCCATGAAAGGCAGGAAAAGAACTAATTGCAGAGATGGCTGCTGAATCAACCATCCCAACCACTCCAGGCCAACTAGCCTAGTCCCGTGATGTATTCATCCACACCCACCCTCAGTGATCAAAATCAGGGCCACAGTTCCAGCAGTCTTGTCACTGTAGCTGGATTACCATACAGGGGCTGACTTGTACCCCACAACTTGGCTAGGAGTATTCCTGGCCTGTACCCCTAGAACATAAGAGCAACCAAACACGGTTTCTTCCCCATCCCTCAACAACCAAGGAAATATCTAGACATTACCTCCTGTGCCCTGAAGGGGGCTATGCAAGATTACTCGCATTTTCCTTGCTATTTCATGACCATCCGCACCAGACAAAAAGACAGTTTCCTTTGCTTATCTCCCTGTGTGCATGTGCACCTCATCTCCATCCTGACCCTGCAGAAGATGGCCAACAAGCCTCGGGCAATGAGAGACTGCAGAAGTTTCCTGTGCGCCAGGGGAGCTTTTGGGTGCCAGAGACATCCCATCCATTTCTCTTTGGTTGTTTTGTTTTCAAAACAGAGTTTCTCTGTATAACAGACATGGCTGTCCTTGAACTCTCATTATGGACCAAGCAGGCCTCAAACTCACAGAAATTCATCTGCCTCTGCCTCCCGAGTGCTGGGATTACAGGTGTGCACCACCATGCACATATCTTATACAGAACATGAGACTCATGGAGTCTCTCTCCTCAACCCTACTCCATCCTTGCTCCTTTCCACTCCGCTATCAGACTGACAGGTACCAGGCCTCAGGGGCATTTTCACCCTCTCTGTACTATACAGCACCTTCCCTTTACACATGTGAGGAAATCAGGACCATTTGTTGAGAGTCCTCTTCCCAGAAAGATTCTAGGGCAGAGGTTGAATGGGTGGTACAACATAGGACCTGGGACCAGGAGGCACTTTGGGGGCTCTCGTTGCCTGCAGAAGGTGAAGGCTGAGCTGGTGGCAGCTCTGAGAATCTGCCCCAGAAGAGTGGGTTCCAGAATAGAGGGAGAAGCTAAGGGGGAGGGCGTGCCTGTCTTTGGCCTTTGTGGCCCTCCCCATCTTTCCACTGGGTGAGCACAATATTAAATCCCCCCAATACATGGAGTAGCTTCAACCACACCCAAGTGACACAGACATCCAGGTTGAAACCCCTATGAACCCCCATGAAGGACATTATAAACTCCAGGCTTCTGTCTACACTCTCCAAATTCAATCCTTGGGACTGACCTGTCACCAACCTATAAGTTAAAAATAAACAAGCCACATTAAACTAGAGTTCTAATTCTTAAGAATCAGGGCTACGGTTTACCACTGAGCTCAGCCACAGCTAAGAAAAGGTGGGTCAGTGTCTTGCTGAGTGTTCTGGAGCTGACAAGACCAGGCTGGGCTCCAGGCTCCATTTGCAGTCACTGACCAGTTGGCCTCTTTTGTGTGAAGGGGTCAGGATGAAGCTGGGGGTCAGGAGGCCGTGATAGCTCAACAGCTCTAAAGCTGGCGGGGTAGCAGAAGACCTCTGATCTAAAGTTAGCTTGTGCTCTGCCTGAACACTTGCCACTGGGTCTCGGGGAAGCCAGTTGTGATCTGTTTCCATCTTTCCTTTAAAACGGTGACACTGCCCTTCACTCACAATGCACAGCACACACTCTGGCTACCCTCATCTCCACTTGCTCTGACTTTTAAGACCAGTTCACATTCACACAGTGTCAGAAGCATCAGCCCCACCTTTAATCTCTACTGAACACAGCAGTCTGCACGGTAGAGCTGCTGTTCTCCATCCCGGAAAAGCCCAGGGATGCAGGAGTGACTCTCAGATCATCAAGGTTCCAGCCTGCAGTCAGGACATAGGCTCCCCATGGTGGATTTCCTAACCTCAACATGATATACACAAAATATCTATATAATGGGCAATGTGCTTTATAGATTTTCTGTTTCCTTCTCTCTGCCCATTCAAGGATGGCTGTGTGTGTGTGTGTGGTGTTTATTTATAGCAAACAGATAATCTTTTTAGTATAAGGGTACTCAGATATTCAAACCTGGTTTGAGTCTAACCCAACTTACACATTGCAGGAGCTGGTTCCATCTTAAAAGCAGGGTCACCACAGAGATGCCGCAGTGAGCCTTACCCTGCCCAAGTAAAGGGCACAGGCAGTAGCCAACATAACCACGAGGTCACCACTATACTTAAGACAGCCTGCTTGAAAGAATACTAGAGTCCAATTCCCAGACCTGCCCCTCAAAATCTGAGGCCATCTTGAGAAGGGGACGTTTTTCTGTGTCTGTAAAACAGGGAGATAGTATCAACGCACAATTACAAAAGGCACTACAGAGAAAGTGTGCAGAAAGTTCCCAGTAAAAAAGACAAATAGAAAAATTCTGGTCACACCTATACCTCACTCTCAGCACCAGAGGCTGAAGCAGAAGTTCAAGGTCATCTTAGCTACATAACAGGTCTGGAATACTTGGGACCCTGCCTGAAAAACAAACAAGCACACAAAACCAAACAACTGAAAAAGCAAACCTCACATAGAAACTGAAGAACTGCAACAGGCAACAACTCTACTGTCACTAGGCAGAAAGCAACTCCTTGCTCCTGACATGAAGGCTGAGCTGGGAGACTTCTCTCCAGCGCATATATAACATGGGAGAAGGCAGTGGAGACCTTAACTTCACAGTGAAGAACCTGGCCACCACCACCGAGCCAGGTGACCAAAGTTGTGCTTGCAGCACAGCCCTCTGAAGATGATGAGGTAGCACTGTGCCCTCTGTTGCCCCAAAGAACTCTGTAATCCAATCCCCTGGCAGGTACCTGGCATGGCTCAAATAACAGACATCCTACAACACACCAGATTGTGTATGCAGATCTATTAAAATCATCAAACACAAAGACAGACTGGGAAAGTGTTACAGCCACAAGGAGCCTGGAGACACAGAAACACAGTTTCAAAGGTCCCAGCTCACAGTCACCCAGGCCTGTTGTATTTGGCCTGTAGCTGCACAGTACAGCATGGTGGGAGCATATGACAAGGAGGCTGCTCACGTAATAGCAGTCAGTAAGCAAAGAGAAAAAAGGGGCTCAGATACTGTTACTCATTTTTAAAATGGGTCCCTAATGACCTAATTTCCTCCCAGGAGGCTCTACCTCCTGAAGGTTTCCTCAACACATTGACATTTGAGGAACATTTGATGTCTGTTTTATAGCTGATAACTATGGGGCTCATTGGGACAGGCCAGAAGGTTCAGAGTATAGAGGCACTTGCTACCAAGTCTCATGATCTGAGTTGTCCCGAGACCTCCATACCCAAGCTCTGGGTCACACATGTGCCAGCACACAAGACACTAAATATTAACCCTCTGCTTGATGTGTCGCTGGCAAAGGTTTTTTTTTCTTATTTTGTAGGGCACTTCTTCGCTTGCTTGACAATTTCTTTTGCAGTTGAGTTTTACATGGTCTCATTTTCAATTGTTGGCCTCATTTCCTGAGTAGTTGGATTCCCATTTAGAAATCCTTATCTGAGTCTGTGTGCTATAGTGCACTCTCTGCCTTCTCTTTTAGCAGTTTCAGGCTTTACCTTGGGGTTTTTGATTCATTTGGAGTTGGTTTTTTTGTGCAGTGAGAAATGAAGGTCTGGTTTCTTTCCTCTACGTTTGGACGTCTAGTTTTCCCAGCAGCACTTGCTGGAGCGGTTGTCTTTTATCCAGTGTTTATCTTCGGTCATGTGGCTCTAGTTGTGTACCCTTAAATCTGGGTTCTCTAGTCTATCTACATGCTTGTCTTTGTGCTAATACCATTCTGTTTTTACTAATCTAACTCGGTAGT